ACGCACACAACCAGAGAGACAAAGAGCCTGAGACAGCCCCTGCCTCCCCCAAAACTTTGTAATCCCAACTGGAGGCCCAGAGCCGGGAACTGAACCCAGACTCCCAACTCCCAGTGCATTTTCCCCACTGTCTCACCGCTCACCATAGCTGAGTGACTGCAAATGGCAGTCTCGGAGGACCCGCCAGCGCAATAAGCCTGTCTTTAGCACTAAAGGCTCATTATCACCATATAGGATGCATCATCAGCATAGCCATCTCTCTCTACAATGAAAATTAAGAGTCGCTGAGTTGTCTGGGGACCTGGAGAGTGATTTATCTGTAAGTCCATGTGTGCATCTGGGGGTGGGTGGCTGCCAGGGGAATTCTCTCCCCCTTCAAATGACCAGTTTCCTGGTTCTAAATGACCCTGTCTTGGACCGGGGCTGTATCCCCCTCCCTCCTTGCCCATTTACTTCTCCCTTGATTATCATAGTGCTTGGCCCCATCTGCAGTTTGGAGACCTTTCCGTGGCTTTCCCTGCTCCCCTCTGCCAGGGTCTCACCCATAAATCACTGAGCAGGCAGATAGAAAACAGTGCAGAACGGGACAGCGCATCTGACTCTCTAATCACAAATAGCTTCTTTTGGTGTCATTTGCTAGCTACACCCTGGAGACCCCAGGCTTCCTATATCACTGCTTGACATGCTGCTCCCGGCAGACAGCTGAGTCAGCAGGCAGTCGCTGAGGGTTACAGCTCCTCATAAAGCCCAAGGTTAAAAAATGGTTGGAAGTTTAGGGCGTAATATAAACATTTGCGGCAAAGAACTGGGAACACCACTGAGCAGCGGGCACTTTGGATGGATCTGAGAGTTACCTGGCTCGGAAGCAGATGTCCTTTCTCCATGCATGCAGCATCAGGGATAACTTCATACAGCTGGCCCTGGCTCAGCATCTGTTTCACCCACCAGTGCAAAACAGCCCTCTCTTCTCAGCCAGGCTCGCTCCTTCCCCCTTTCTCCTCTGCTTTTCCTTAGCAGCTCGTGCCACAGAGAATATCTTCTCTCCAGCCCATCAGCTACTTCATTTCGAGGCTCAGAAAAAAAGATGTTTCTTCCCTTGCTTCATTCCTCTCTTGCCATTATAGCAGAGCCAAAATGCCAGGGTCCCACAGTCCTCGATTCTGTGGCCATCCCTATCCCAAAAAATGCAAGTCTACATAGGCAATGCAGAAAGACGGTGAAAGGGAAGTCAGGTGCATAAAGGTCTTTGTCCACTCTCAATGACAGAGCAAAGAACAAAATCCAGAGCTTCCAGGTCATTAAACCACAGTGCTTGTCAAGCCATGCTGTGCTAGCGGCCTGTAGTTAAAAGGCTTTCGGACAGAAAGTTTATCCCAAAATGCGAGAAAGCACGAGATGTTTAGGGACTCAGGAACAGAACAGCCCCATTAGCGATACAGCACACAAACAGCGGATTTCTCCTTTAAAAACACAGTTGCTGTTTATGTATGGCAACACGAAACACCCATCATTCAGTCTGTCCCCAGGTGGATTGGTCTCCAGAAACAAGCCTGGATCCTGCCATCTGGTGCAGGAGGCATGACCCCTGGGTCCAGCTGGAATCACCCCTGCAGCACCCAGCATCCAACTAAGCAGCACACACTGGAGAACAGGAGCCTGTGCCCATGTCACGTGTGCACATGCACGGCTGCGTCCAGAGCCAACAGGCACTGTCTTCCCACTTAATACTCTGCTTTACTGGAAAGCTCCAAATGCACGCGTCTCTGCTTCTAACTGGCAGCTTACTGGCACTAACCTGATTTGCAAAACCCAAGACACTTCAGCAGAGGTCTTATAAAAAAGCCCCAGTAATCACTTCTGTACCAAAGTAAACGTTTATGTAACCATTTATTCCATTATCACACACATGAGTAAACATCACAGACATTAATAGGCAAACAAGTTCCATCTCCAAGTGGTTCTCTATACAAATCACACCCGCTCTTTGTATTAATTGCATTTGCATTAGATGACAATGCTGTGTTTTCTGCACAGGGTGCACAGTGGGATCCAGATGAGCTGCAGACAAACATGTTGAGATATCTGGGGATTTGGGTAATCAGGTGCCAGGGACAGAGGGCCAAAAGGACCTCTTGACAGCACACACAAGGGAAGGTGGGGGGTAATAGGGCAAGTGGGTCATCACTCATTCAAATGGCTCATGTGTCTCTTGTTAAGCTTGATGAAGATTGAAAGCTTAGATCCAGGAAAGAAGAGATTCCTAACTGAGTAAGACTGAAATGTATATGGCCAGCTGCAAAAGCTGGTATAACTTAGTGTGCCTGCACTGTAGACTTGCTGAGTTATACCAGCTAAGGGTCCAGCCCATCCCGTCAGCTCCATTAGGGTCATTCCTTCAGTGCATTTTCTGTGAGCAATACCAGATTGGGACAACATTTTCAGGGAGCCTAAGCAACCCAGAGGACTTAATTTTATTTTCAAGACTGACTTGGGCACCTAAAAACCCATGTTGCATCTACTTTCAATAAGACTGGCACTCTTAAGTCACTTCTGGAAAGAGCATTTAGGCTGTTAAGTCATTGAGACAGCTTCTGGGGGGAGGCGAATTACCCTGGATTCCTTGCTTGATGCTATGCTCAAGATTTTAAATGAGTTTTTCAGTAAGAAGGCCTGAGCAGGGATCTCTGGGGTTTCCCTGCTGGAACATCTGGTTGCTTGCCATTTGTTTTCACTGCTTGGCCCAAAACTAAACTTATCCCTGCCCACGTATGTAATGCTTTTGGACACGGCAGCTCACAGTAGTCACATTCAGGGAGCCTGCTTTGTGATTTGGGAGCGCAGTCAATCAAGATAGACAGGAAATGCCCCTTCAGTCTGGCATCACCGAAAGGAGGGTGCGCGTGCTCAGGCAGACGCATGCGCAGATCTCACAGACCCTATGGCAATGCACCCAAAGGAGGGAAAGAGAAACCTTCCCTTCTTATACTCGCCAGCATTCATAACAGAAATGACCCAGGTGGAAATGAAGTAATGAAATAAAACCAGGTGTTCTGGCCCTCACGTGATAGCAGTTGCACACAAAAAAAGGGGCAGCCCTCTTCAGTGCTGGGTCTGTTGAATCCTGCATCTCCCAGCTGGAAACTTGGACACGTTCCACACAGGATCAGGTCTTTAGTCCATCAAGTGCAGTATCCTTCCCGCACGCAGCTCACGCTTGACACCAGAAGGGGCTAGTGTTGAAGAAGTATATACGCAATGTGTGTGGGCATACGCAGCCTCACCCATTTCACCTTATGGAACACGAGCCCCTCGATACGGGATGAAGTCAGCGATTCCAGGGCAATAAGGAAAAACGGAAAGGAAGGAGGCTCCCATTTTAACAATTTTAGGGACATTGCTTGTATATTGGAGGGTTTGGGGCTTGCAGACCAGTTCACGAACTGTGCAAAAATGCTGCAGCAGAGAGGTAGGAGAAAGCATAGTCTTATAAACACAAACATTCAAGTTCTCCATCAGTCGCGACCCAAAGTGCTATAGATGTAAAACTTCCTGTTTGATTGCCTTAGCAGCTGCAAATCCACCACATCTCCCTTAAGTACCTGAAGTGGATGCAACCCCACTTAACCTGCAGGAAAAAAAATCAAGAGGTTTATTCTAGAAGTGCCAAACCAAAACCACCAGGATTCACATGCCCCCAAACTCTGAGGTGGATCCTGAAACTGGAGCCAAACTTCGCAGCTTGAAATGAACTGCTCATTTCCGAAAAGCACTTGTTCTCTTCCTCCTTCATTCATAGACAGGTTTAAGGTGGCAACATAAGGTCTAAAAGCCAGGCTGGGATTTTAAAAAAACCCTCTCCCTTTAAATTCTAGACTGAAATGCACTTTGGATTCTTATTACTCAGAAGCGGCTGCGATCGCCAAGATGGCATAATCTAGGAATGGGAGCTCGAAGTCAGCCTCCAGAGCTCGTCCGTCTCACTGACTTAACTGTGCAGATGTCAAGAAAAGTCGCTTAATCTGTTCTACCTTCACTTCCCTACCTGCAGGCAGAGGTTTAGACGGTGTTGGTAAATCACTTCCAGACCCTCGCAAAGGAGACCGGACAGAAGTGCCAGGTGCTTTCATGAATAATAGGGGGCTGACCTGACATTGCTGAGGGCGTCTCACCTAGACTGTCTGTACAAACTGGTTGGATCACTACAAACAGGAAACACTTCACCCACCATCAGAACGCAGCTGCTTCTGCAGTGGAAACCGGGGTCTGTGTAACAGCGCAGAGTAACACAGGAGGAATGCTTGAAACAACAGGGTGAACTGTCGGGTGGCATTGATGATAGGTAGGGAAAATAACTTCCTTGTGCTGCTAGATCAGGGGTGAACTTTGTAGGATTCCAATATCCCTGAAGCAACAGCTCTGTTGGCTGGCCTGGTGCTGTCCTAAGCCTAAAACTGCTTCCTTGTGTTGCAGTACCAGTGAACACCACCATTGTTCCTCTGGTTTAATGCCTGCCAGACCATTCCACACACCTCCCAGGCAACAGGTTAAGCTCTGCCTACGTGGCGGAGAAGGTCAGTATGAGCTCAGATCGGTATCTCTGCCAAACAGAAGTCGCGCACTCTTACCGTTCAATGATGCTGTTGTTCAACTGGAGATCGCAAGTTACTGATTTCATTTCCTCCAGAAGCTGCTGCATTCTGCACAAGACACAAACCAGCCTCTTAGACATATGCCTCCTCCTGCTGAGAGGCCTGGGGGGGAGAGCTTCCTGCAGGAAGGCAGTGATAGCTGGCAGAGCAGACTAAGGAGGGCAAAGCACTCCCCAACTCGCAGGCCTCCCCACGCATTGTTCTGGGTAGCAAGTAGCTACTCTGGAGTTTCCCTGCCTTTCTTCTGAGAGCCAAACAGGGCCTCCCACCCCCAGCCCTCCCTCATCACTGCAATCCTGTACGCCGGCAGTAGGCAGAAAGTTAACTTTGCATGTCCTGAGCTGCAAACACATCACAGTCAGGGCTTCTAACTACATGGGAACGTGCAAATAAGACACCTTCACTCCTCCAGTTTAGCACAACCCAGTGCTGCTCTGCTGCCTGAATTTAAATAGTCACACGAGCAGTCTATGTAGAAGTGGTTCATAAACAGCTAATAAATGGCTACTAGGGATTTTAAGTCATAGCTCCTCAATTGTAGAGGTCGCTGACAAGTCTAAGCAGCTTTGGCTGATGTGCCAACAACCTTATGAAAACACACGTGAAAAATTCACATGCTTAGGACATCTACTAACCAGTTATAAATGGAACTTAATTATGAAGTGTGACTGCAAACACACACATGGCTGGCACCCGTCCCTGGCATCAGCGTAACACATAGCCAGGCTGTGGGGACGCTTGGGTCTCAAGCCTATCCCTTTTGGACATCAGAGAACCATCTTGGCATGAGAGATGCAGTAGGGACCTCCCTCACTGATGCCCAATCTGTTCCAGCTCCCTCCTACAAACTTACCTAAGTGCCATATCCTGATCGGTTTCTTGTGTGTAAACGGGTAGAGGAGCAGAAGAGACCTGGGCTCTCTGTGGCAGCCTGTCCAAAGCCTGCAGAGATAGAGAGACTTGACACTGCTGCAGGTAACGTGCTGTGCTGCTAGGTCTAAATCTCTGGGCAATGCCATGTATTCAACTCCCCTCCCACCCGCAAAGCTGGAGCTTTTAAAGGGGATGTGGGAGGGTAAGTGCCGCAGGAGAACAATGTGTGGACAAATGCTGGTTGTTGCAGGCACCTCTCCCTGGAAACAGGGTAAGAACAGCAGATGGACCAGGACACATTGTTTCTGCATCATAAAGCATCCTAAAAACACAAGGCCGAGCCCCACGTTCATCCCTCTTGGTATTTCCTGTTTACTACAGTATGAAGTAACTACTGCTGCCACGCAGAAGGCACTTGGGTCAAGGCGCAGAGTCTTCCAGGGGAGATGAGGCACCACATTCCCAGCTCAATCCGAGATCGGGACGTGACCCTCCATCAGCTACAGAGAAATCCAGCAACGTATTAACAAAAGGCCCAACCACGCAGAAGCTGTGCCAGTCAGCGTAGGTGGTGGTGCCTGCAGGAAATCAGACTCTGGCAGCATTTGAGCTACACACCAAGTACTTCTACTCCCTTGGATCATTGCTTTGCTTGTTAGCTGAAACCTGATTGTCCACAAATCACGGTAAGGCGGGACAGCATCAGAAGCCAGTGGTACGAGGGCAGGGATAACAGCCTTCTAACCCAAGCCTTGATGCTTAAGGGGGATCTAGCTGTTGCTAGACTGTGCAGACCTATCCCAGGCTGGCATCAGCACTGCTGTGTTGCTGTACAACTTACTAGTTCACCCACATCACCACCCAAATAGGATCACCCTGCTTCTAGTCCTGAAGCGGGCACACACAGTGCAGGCACGGGTATCTGCACGGTGCTATTTTGTGCCAGGCACGCAGCTCCCAACTCACCATGCAACCTTGGGGAAACCATTTTGGGGTCAAAGTTTTAAACATGCTTAAATGACTTTGGAACCTAAATCCCACTGACTTTTCACAGCATTGCTCACTTCACTTCTCCGAGCTGTATCTTTTCCCCATCTATAAAATGGAGGCTACTGCTACCACCCGACTTGCACCAGGGAGACTTCAGGAACACTTGGCGGATGACAAGTGCAAGGGAACAGCTGTATTAAAAACAGTCTACGGGTGATATCCAACTCCCAAGCAGATAAGCTTTAAGAAAGCACTGTACGTTATGGAGGCAGTCCCAGCACTCAGTCAGCTCCACACAGCATGCTGACAAGGAACTGCCAAGCTTCTTCAAATTTTTTTTTATCTCACAAACTTTCCTGTTGGGGAAAACAGAAAAAGTCCAGTCAAAGATTTGGCAGGAACAGGGATTGTTCAGCTCGTCTTCCCACGCAATTGGCTCAGGGCCACTAGGCTCAGTACTAGCCCACACATCCAGGGTGCTGAGATCCCAGAATATGGCATTATATACAGAGGCAGCAGCAGAAACACGCCTATTACTAGCAGCTTCATTAAGGTGCTTCATGTCAAGAATCTGTTCACAGTTTTGTAATCAGGGCTGGAAACCAGTAGGGACCAGTGCGATGGGGCCAAGATCAAAGGAGCCATCTAGTGGACTTGGAGGGAACATCACTGCTCCATAAAGAGTTGTAATCACTCTTGTTCTGGCTTCAACAAACAAAACAAAAAGACTTGAAGTGCACAGTCTCTCTCCAAGGCCAAAAAAAGACCCATTGCATGACAAAACCCAATCCACTAACTACATCAAAACTCAAAACAAGGCAATTAAAAATGAAAGAAAAATAAAATTAAAAACCTCTCCACCCTCAAAATATCAAATCTGCAAGGGCAGAAACACACACACAAAAATACTCTTCAGGTATTTTTAAAACACCATTACACAACTTCCAGTTTTGAACACTTAAGCCTAACTGGAACTCGCATACTGGATGGACCTGGGAGAAAATTCCCACTGAAGGCAGTGGGAGATGGGACCAGTATAAGAATAATGGATCCTAGCCTGGAGTTGTATACAGGACTTTCCCTCCCAGTCACTGAAATGCAGCCACTTCTGCGTTGCAGGAATGCAGCAAGGCAAAATAATTCGACACAACAGACTTCACAACAGTGAAGAGAACCGGAAAGACAGCAAGCCAGGACACCAAGGCAGACTCTTGCTCCTATGCATGCTGCCCTATACTCTTTGAGGTCCACCTCCAACAGACTAGTCTCACTGATGAAATCTTGGCCTACAGGTTCCCTAAACAACACATCTCATGAAGCTGTACTGGCAGGGATGATGTAGCTGGGGCTGGTCCTGTTTTGAGCAAGGGGGTGGACTATGTGACCTCCTGAGATGCTTTCGAACCCTCATTTTCTGTGATTCTACTGCATCCTGGATGCCCAAGCCAAGCCCCAGACAAATTTTAATACTAAAAGGCTATTAAAAAAAATCCACATTTAGGTGCTGGGGGTGGGGGGGGAGATGCTCTACTTTAAAAGTGGCTTTGCAATTGAAGTCCTATCTCTGCAACAACTGCTTCTCCTAAACGACACTTTTTTACTCTGATAAGCCAGTATGTGGCCCTCAGTCACACACAGCCATTTGCTCTTTGCATTATTCCCCAAATACCCTTTAGCATAAAGTCATTCCTTCGTCTTAACGGCAGTTTCAGCCTGATGTCATGAACCCTCCCGATCCCTGAATAAAGAAGTGGACCTTCTGCAATGAAGTGAAGCTGATGATGGTTGGCTTTGGGTGGGATGGCTGGCTGGATTTCTTTTAATGCTGCCCCATCCTTAAGTGGCAGGAGCAGGGTCACGGATATCAATCCTCTTCTCTGCTCCAACTACTCGCTTGCTTCAAAGACAGAGAATGAATTTCCCTTTCCTCTCCCCCAGTGCTGCACCTCTGTCCTGTGCTTTGCGTTATTGGAAGTGAAACCTGTAAAGACTTAGGTGCAGGCTTAGCTTCAAACCCAGGCAAACCCCCGTGGCTGTGGATGGGCCTGTTCCTGGTGTGTCCAGGTAGGCTGGTGCAGGAGTAAAACTCCCCAAGAGCAAGTTATACTGGTTGAGGTTTTGGCTGTCAGCCTGCATCCCTGGGAGCCATTTGCTGAAGGCAGACAGATATTACTTGCCACATGCCTATTGGCAAGGCACAAAGAGAGTCTCCTACTGAGAGCAGCTAGCCTGGGAGAGCTGCAACTCCATCCACTCCTCACTCTGGTATCATTTACATCACTATAAAACCTACTTAAGTCACTCTGGGGTAAGTGCTCATCTCCGTCCGCATCACAGAAAATGCCACGTCGCTTGCCACGGACATTCAGACTCCAGGCACCTTGTATAAAACCCAGGGATACGAGTGAAGAAAGGCTGGTTTAATGATCCTGGCTATTACCTCATTCTGTTTCCATGAGCACCCAGGACATCTTGGTATTTCTGTACACAATCATCCTGGAAAATTGATATAACTTTTCTTGCTAAACGTCCTAGATTCAACCTAAAGATGTTGGGAGAAAGAAGAGGAGGAAGGAGGGAGTGAATGGTATTTCCCTATAATAAACCATGTTCAGGTAACACAAGGGTTGAGGGTGGAACAACAAACAGACAACATGTTATAGGAAAAATGGCATACAAGGGAGATTTTCCCCTCATGCCTTCTATATTTAGGAGCACAAGTCACTGAAACCAGCACAACTTGCACGTTTCAATGCCTCCAGCACTGCTGAAAACCTCGAATTTCAAGTGAAGTCTAATGTGCGTGTCCCTGGCTTCATTAGGATAAAAATCACTAGAGGGTTAAATTCTGCTGTTCTAGGCAAGCATTTAAAACCAACTTCAGGCATGTCAAAGTCCGCTTGGTTTCAATGAGATTTCAGTGGAGACTTTAAAGGCACAAATGCCATTTAGGCATCTAAGTCCCACTGTAAATCAAGCGTAAGCTTAGCAATGTCCTTGAATTGGGGTCTCTGTACATAACACAGACACTATATCCTTGGGGTTACTGTGGTCAGTTTATTCCATTATTGTGCATTTTCATTTGCTGGTACTGTGAAAGCTCTCAAGACTACAGTAGGGACTGGGCCCATTATAGTAAGGGCTGTACATGCACATAATTA